CATAGTCCCCCAAAGAAAGAGTCATAGTCTGGGAATCTCTTGATAATGTCGTAAGGTAGAAGATTGGAGTGAAAACAGTTTTCACAACTTGTTATTCAGACGAACTGGAGCCTAACCATTGCCACATGGTTGGATAGGGATGACTCCGTTGCATAGTTACGCGAAGGAAATTGCTTTGGACGGTTGCTAGCTTCAAAGCTCTCTTGGTCCTTAGGAACAATTAATGCTGATCCGGGAGGACATGTACCTGGGCGGCTGTTGTAGTTGTCGGACTCTGTAGCCACATGCGTGACCGATCAGCTGACTAGGTCGAGTACACAACCGGTACAGGAGAACTACAACTGAGCGCGAAGGGTCACGTAGCACATCAGTCCGGAAAATTCGGGGTTTCCCTGATATCGTCTCAATTATAGACCCCTTGAGCCGCATAGGGTAACTTTCGGTAGATTCCAATGAGATAGCTAAAGTATTCAGGAGTTTCCCAAATCGGTTAAGTTTAGCTAGCATTAGTCAAAGCGGGACACAAACTTTAGTTCCATTTTGATATCGAATGAAAGGCGAACGCATGGCGCACTCCGGATTGAATTGACATGTTGAATGCTCACTACTTTGTTGAGAAAATAAGGGTACTTTTAACTGTTGGAATTATCAGTTAGCAAGGCTGTTTGGCCTTTTGAATCGCAGATGAACTCCTTCCTAGGAACATAGGTTCAACCATACTGGCAGTAATACTTTTCGCGATTCCTTGGTATCCTATCATGCTCAAAGAGAGGACAGTGTCGATAGTATCGAACGGCGAGGCAACTAACCAAGACAACTCGCCTAGTTTTGGCTTTCAGCAAGTCCATTAGCTAACTATCACTGCTCACTGAAAGGATTTCGGATCATTTATACCTCTGAAATAACAATACATGTTTTCCTGAAAGTCTTATAACCACTCTTCACTCTTGTGAGAACAAGTCCCACATGCCGTGTGGGTCCATGGGCGACCTTCCAAGAGGGCTCACTCCTTCATACCTTCAAAAACCAATTAGGGTCTAGTGTCGCTCAGACGAGGGCCGACATGGCCTCCGGTCATAAGAAACACATTTCCAGTGGTACGAGGCTCCTCGAGACCAAAATATGTATCCACGAAGCCGACTAATGGCATTGGGGTGGGTGGCATAGAGCAACGGTTAAAGATCGCAGGCCGTCGACTCTCTGCCCCTTGGTCCCCTTCCTTCGGCTCGGGCTAATTGATACCAGACTTGTTTGTTTGTGTGTTTGAGATCTCCAAAAAATTGAACGTCGTCTAACATTCAGGCAGTTGCAAGCTTTTCCAAACTTCCTGTCGAATGTGTCATGCAAACTGAGAAATCTATGAATGTTTTGGAGGAACTTTCTTTCCCTTTTTTTCATTTTGTTGCGACGAATTTCCTCCTCCACTATTCCGTTTCTGAATGATTTTTCTCCAAGGTTCGATTTTTTCCCGATGCAACAAACCCTAAAAACCCTCCCTGACGTACCTCATCCATTCTCAGAATGTCCAGGGTCCCCTTTCTGACAACCTCTTAGCATTCCGGAAATCCGGTACCTACATCCGCATTTGTTTGACTTGGTCGATATATCAGGAGTAAAGTGGTATAAGGCTAGCTTAAGTGACTTGAGACATCAATTTCAGTCAGACAAACGATTGCCATTTAGGATCGTTCAAGCCTGAATACTGCTTCACAGGAATACCACGGCGCTTGGAGACTAGTTATCAGCTTGTTCTCGGCTTCATTTTTGAAAAAGAGTTCAATGTCAAAAGTCTGAGAAAAAGCTTGTTCCCCTGAAGTGGACTAGCTCCGCCCACGGCGCACGACAATTCTTGGCTAGTTGTCTCGCCGCGCGGTGTATTATTCGGAACTTTTGCTCGTCAACCGGAAACAGTTGCTTTGAAGACTTAATCTCGGTGCTAAAAAAAANAAAAAAAAGTGGAAATAAAATCAGTTGTCACAACTCTTTCCATGTTCCGAGTCAGCAACTTCTTTAGCCGGAATAGAAACTCTTTAGAAAAGGAAAACCACCTCAAAAAGGGTACAATGGGTGAAAAAGACGAACTGAGAAGTGACTATATAGTAAGGAATAGAAAATTCGAAGTGAATGAAATATAAAGCTATCGTTATACCAATACGAAATGTCAAGTATGTTTACTGCTAGAGCTGATTTGAGAGTAATAATTTCGTGGGTTGACTATATGCATGTCGTAAATAGTTGAGCCCTTCATTGCATAGGAAATGTTGAGTCGGCTAATTAGGCCTTCAACTCATCCAACAGCGGCGGAGGCCCTCTGTTATAAGTAGTAGCAATCCTTCTCGCTTGAGTGAACCATGAACTAACTGTAAAAACTACGAGTAAGAATGAGCTGCTTCGGTTTGATCAATACCTTCACGAATACGAGCTGCTTGGTTTTCATTTTGGACCATAATAGCTTTGAAAAAGATTTGACCATTACAATATAAGAGGAAATAATGACCAAGTACCAGGTACCAGTCAGAAAACCTCTTGAGCGCTATACTCAGAAATGAAGTCAATCCTCCGGCTATGGGTTTATAGTCGAGCCCCTTCCCACGGTGATCCGAAAAGAAGTCAATCCTCTGGCTAAGGGTAAGGTAGCTAACCCCCCCCCCCCCCAATCATATACTATGTTTCTTGAATTCATGAGTCGCGAGTCAACTAAAAGGCTTATTCCATGACTAACATTCCTATATTGGTGAAGGGAAGATGGGGACGGGCGTTAGAATCTTCAAGATAAGGACTACAGGGACTAGCGTTGGAATTACGCAGGCGCGGATCTATACTGTGTCTCACAGTCGCCATTGAATCTCCCTCTTCTTAATAACTGAGCTAGAAGGGTCCCGACGTGTTCGCCTTACTTACTTATAATCAGATCGTGTTAGTTTTCATGTAGCAAACGCGATGGCACCTTCGGTTTGACGTAGCTTGAAGACCGTTCTTCGACTCTTAGTCGCATAATGTCCGGAAGGATCCTGTGATTTGGATGCCGCTGTGAAAGAGCGATCTTGAGTAGATAGTCCGGTAAATCCAGGGAGCATACCGTGGGATGCTATTAGATTGTTGCCTTGCTCGAAAACCTGATGATATCTATGAAGTCAGCCATGAGCAGCTGTTTCGATGAGAGAGCGCAGACAGTAACACGAAAAAAAGCGCGGAGTCTAAACCGACTTTTATGCTCTCATGGACCCGATGCTTCCTTGCTTTAGTCGACCTGTTACTGGTTTGTAAGGGGTTAAGCTCATCTTTGGTAATGACGTGCTTATTGTTGCTGTTTTGGGAGGGCGCTTTTTCTTCGAAATATGTAAATATATCCTGTATCTTAAAGTTCACTTCGATGGGTAATGTGGGTCATCCGGGAAGAACTACGGGCATATCACGAAATTCGCTCTTTTGATGCGATAGTAATTCTAAGTGCTTGTGTACTTTCAATGTCGCAATGAATAAATGTAGCTTTTAATTTTTCGTGTTTACTTCCGGTCATATATTTTTCGGTATCTTTTTTAAAGTTCTATCTTGAAATTGTTCTTTTAGATTAATATGTGTGATAGTTTTATTGCGGATGAAGTGAGAAGGTTGGAGCTTGAAGAACAGTTACAATCATTCCACAACAGTTTCAAAAGTTATAAGCAAGAGGAAAATGATGGATCGATCCACTCAAATCTGGATGGAGACCTGGAACTTGATCTGCTTCAGCATATGAAGAAAAGGGTAGGCGGATTCTCTCTCATTACTTACTTTGATACTGTATATACTACGTACCACATATATTTTATACTTTTTACTATGCTTCTTACTTCATTTTTTTTATTTGGACCCAAAAGGTTGATTCGGACCGTGAAACGTATGATCGTTAAGAGCCGATAACTTAAGCGTTCCTATCACGATTTAGTTCTCTAAACTGCGAATATATGAAGTACAGACTTCAAAATCAAAATTGCTGAAAGTAGCTGTGGCACTTGCGATTGGTCAACGCCCACTAGTATCCAATCACAGTCGCCGTTCGTCATGTTTTAGACCCGGTCTTTTCTGCTGGCATTCTGACTGTTTGAATCCTTTCTTTAACCTTTCTTGCCAACATTACTTCTTGTAGTGGTAGCGTCAAATTCCTGAAATGGTTACTTGTAGGCCTTACAGATTTCTAGTATTAGTTTCGCTGCTTAAATTACTACTTCTCGCTATTCTGCATCAGACGAGTGCATCCATTCACTGAATATGTGTTTCAGCGAGAATATCCAGCTGGACGATTTTTGAAGAAAGAATTGGAGTATATTGCTGAAACCTACTGTAACAATTATGAAACGTTTTACCATTCAACTGTCAACGGCGGAAAGGATAAAGATGCTATTGCAGTGAGTATGTAATACGTGAGGTGGTGTTGATCGATTATTGATTGCTTCTTCATAGGCAAGATTTATAGAGAAAGAAAGCCCTGCTGACAGAAATGGCCGAACATATTTCGACCCTTGGCGAGGAGCATCGTACTCCTGAGCAGGTGGAGCAGAAGATACGAGATGAGCTGAAACGTGTGAAGAAGTACATGGCTGCGAAGGTATGTAGTGAGTACCACATCTTCAGGTGCCAACATACAGGCTGGCTTTCCTTCATTGTATTTTTTCTCTTTGTTTTTCCTCTTTGTTATGAGCAGACGCATAATGGGTAGCGTGAAAAGCACCAACAGGAAGTCAGAAAGACTTCCTCATGCAGTTGCTCACTTTTCTATTTGATTCTTCTCCACATTTGAAACTTACATTTGAGTTGTGAATTCCTAGTATTGGCAGTTTTTTTGCCAAAACGAATTATTATTTTTTTCTAGAGTCAAGCTGGTCTTGCTAACAACAGGAGAGAGATAATCTTGTCGTCACCGCAGCGCATGATTGCAGAGGTCATTGAGAGGACAACAGTTGAACCGATCAAGCCGAAGTCTTCTGAACAGAACGGAGTGGAAGAGGCAGTAGCTGTCGACACTTCGTATATCGATGTTCCCACAGCTAGTAAGTCTCTCAGGATCGCAGTACTTTTCGGTAACCGGCTGAGATGGATGATGATGTAGTGATGAGTATCTTGATGTGCTAGCAGCATAGTCCCGTGTATATCTTCTGCAACAGGAAAGTGCTGTGAAAGATAAAGTTATGCAAAGTGAATCTGGTTGTGGTTATTTCAATGACACGGGCGGACATAGCAGTACTAATAAATATGTGGGAAAGGAAACAGCGATTGGGAGAGAGAGAGCTCGTTATTTTCTCGAAGATCGTTTTTCCATTTCGTGTTGGCTGTTCCAGTCATACTACTATGAAGGATTTGAATGATTTCTTTCAAACCTAACGAATTAACAACCGCGATCTCCCACGCTCATCCCATGGCTTGCTCAGACTCTCCCATTGAAGGGGTTACCACCGTAATCGAAGGCCGTGTATTGAGACAGACTATTAGCCAGACGTTTTTTATTGTTTTCTAAATTTTGAAGAGCTCAACCAAGGGTCTGTTCTCTAGGTTCTTCAATGGAAGTGAGTCCACCACTATTCAATCGTCAAATCGCTTCACCACTTCATGTGCGTAGGAAGAAACGAAGATTGCTGAGCCAAAGAGAGCTTCCCTCAATTCAACCCGACGATTGCAGGTGTGGTTTACTTGTGTTTACAACTATGTTCTGTCTTGAGATTATTTGGTTTATTGTTTTTATTTTCGAGTTTTTTGTTTATTGTACTCTAAAGTGTTGAATTACTCAAGTTGATATTTTGGTCTTATACCTCTACATTTACGTCCATTGAACCCTGGATCCAAAAGATCTACTACACGCCCCATAGACAACTTGTAGACACTGTTGCAGTTGTGGGTTAGGTTGTGTCTGTTCTTCAGTGTAGAATTTTGCAAAAATGGAATTCTAAATAAAGCTTCCCCGAAGCATCGACCGAAATGGTAATCCCTATTGATTTTCAGGAACGACTTCGAGTTACTGAAGGAGAAACGACGGATTCTCGACGAAGACATGAAATATGCCAGAGCAAAATTGGAAGCGGTAACTGCTGAACGTGACTATTGGATGGCAAAGATCGATGTTCTGGATCTGGAACGTCAGTTTTGGATGCGTGAGATCGAGCGAACACTTAATGGTCGGCTTTGATCAGTGGGCAATGTCCTACAAACGCTACTTCGAATTACTAGAGAATTATTATGTTGATGCTGTAAATACCACTTGTTGTCAATCGTTATGTAATCAATTGAATGCAGACATCTTGCATAGTTTCTTCACCCTTTCTGCAGCAAC